CCCTCTCGTCTTCACCTCCCAAAGTGCTGAGATTACAGCCGTGAGCCACCACATCCAGCCAAGGCTATGCTTTATTATAGAAAAAGGAAACAAGAAAAAGGCACAGGGGGTGAAGTCCATGAAAAGTAGGGCCCAGATTTCTAAAAGTCCTCTTTCCATGGGTCGTGTGACATGCTTGACTTCCCCAGCAACGAGTTGTGAGAGCACTTCTGAAATGTCAGCCAAGAAAGCTCATCAGAGCCTCAGCACCCAGGGTTTTTACTGGAAATTGGTCACAGAGGCACTCGTGCCCAACTTGCAGCCATGTTCCAAACTCCCAGAACATGAGTTTTACGCAGATGTTCAGCATAAAAAAATTATTTGTATAATCAGTTCAGGCATAGCTAGCCACCCTTACATTTAGAGAATGCTAAGAACACTCTCGAACTCCATGTTTCTAGACACCAGTCAAGGGCCAACCTTGCAAGCAAGTCTTTCAAAGAGTAGCATCAGGCCTGCTAATCGTACCTATTTTCTGTACATATGGATGTGCCATATTTTGTTTATTCATTCATCAGATAGACATTTGGGTTATTTCAGCTTTCTGGCTGTTATGAATAAATCTGCTGTGAACATTTGAATACAGGTTTTTGTGTGAATATACAATTTCAAGTGTCTTGAATTATTTACCTAGGAATAGAATTGCTGGGTCTTATGGCAACCATGTTTAACTTCTTGAGTTACCTCCAGTCTCTTTTCCAAAGTGGCTGTACCATTTTACATTACCACCAGCATGTATGATGGTTCCTGTTTCTCCATATTCTTGATATGTAATGACACATAATATAATATCTGTCTTTTTTATTATAGCCATCTTGGTGGATGTGAGCTGGTATCTCATTGTGGTTTTCGCTTGCATTTGATGATAGCAAATGACATTGAGCAACTTTTTGTATGCATATAATTCATATTTATATTTTCTTAATTTAATAATATCCTATTGGAAAACTATTTAATAATATCCTCTGCCCATTTTTAAATTGAGTTATTTTTTTTCATATTATTGAATTATAAGAGTTCTTTATATATTCTGGAATACTGGACTCTTATCAAACATGATTTACAAAAGTTTTCTCTTGGCCATGCAGTGGCATGATCATGGCCCACTACAGCCTTGACCTCCTGGGATTAGATGATCTTCTTGTCTCAGTCTCCCAAGTAGTTGGCACTACAGACACACACCACCATGCCCAGCTAATTTTTTTGATATCTGTAGAATCAAGGTCTCGCTTATATTGCCCTGGCTGGTCTCAAACTCTCACCTTGGCCTCCCAAAGTGCTGGGATTACAGATGTGAGCCACTGCACCCAGCCTCATTTAGGTCTTTGATTTATTCTTTTTTTTTGAGTCGGGGTCTTAGTCATTTGGGCTAGAATGCAGTGGTACAGTCATGGCTCACTGCAGACTCGACTTCTTGGGCTCAGGCAATCCTTCTGCCTCAGCCTCCCCGGTAGCTGGGACTACAGATACATGCCACCATGCTTGGCTTATTTTGTTGTTGTTGTTGTTGTGGAGACAAGGTCTCGCTATGTTGCCCAAACTGGTCTTGAGCTGGTCTCAGGCGGTCTTCTCACCTCAGTCTCCCAAAGTGCTAGGATTACAGGCATGAACCACTGTGCCTGGCCAAGAGTTTGTGGGGTTTTTTTTTTTCTGGTTTTTTGTTTTGTTTTGTTTTGTTTGTTTGTTTGTGGAGATGAGGTCTTGCCATGTTACCTAGGTAAGCCTCAAACTCCTAGACTCAAGCAATCCTTCCACCTTAGCCTCCCAAAGTGCTGGAATTATAGGCGTGAGCTACTGCACTCAGTCTAATTTTTTAAGTTTAAAGTAGAAACCAGGTTTTGCTGTGCTGCCTCGACTGGTCTCAAACTCTTGGACTCAAGCGATTCTCCTGCTGTGACCTCCTAAGTGCTGGGATTACAGGCATGATCACTGCACCCAGCCTGCATTTGGATACTCAGTTATCTCAGCACCGTTTTTGGAAGAGACTCTTCTTTTCCCATTGGTATTGTTTGGACACCCTTGTCAAAAATTAGTTGCCCATAAATCTATGTTCTAGACTCAATTCCATTTCACTGATCTATATGTATATCTTTATGCCAGTGCCACACAGTCTTGGTTACTATAGCTTTGGAGGAAGCTTGGAAAATTGGAAAGTGTGAGTCCTCCAACTTTGTTCTTTGTCAAGATTACTTTGACTATTCTGCACCTCTTGCATTTTTATTTGAATTTAAGGATTAGCTTGTCAATTTCTGCAAAAAACACAACTGGAAATTAGATAGAGATTGCATTTATTTTTAAAATTTTTTTATTTTAAAGATGTGGGGCACAATTCAGGGTTAGGTATACAAATGTTCATTATGCAGGTACCCTTGTTGATGAGGTGTGCCCCTCCCTCCCCTGGCAGTTTCCCACAACTGCCACTCCCACCCCCCTCCCCGGTCAGTTTCCCACTACTGCCAATCCCTTTCTTATGGTATTGTGATAATTGTTCTAGGTCTGCTTATGAGTGAGAACATATGGTACTTTGTTCTTTGTTTCTGTGATAGATCACTGAATATGATAGACTCTAAATCCATCTAAGTTGCAGCAAAGTCCATATGTTTGTCCTTCTTTATGGCTGCATAATATTCCATTGTGTATATGTACCACATTTTTTTAATCCAGTCCAACTTTGATGGGCAGCATGGTTGGTACCATGTTTTTGCTATTGTGAATAGAACTGCAGCAAACATGCATGTGCAGGTATCTTTTTTGTAGATTGATGTGAGTTCCTCTGGGTATATTGAGATTGTATTTAATCTGTAGATCAATTCAGGAAGTATTGCTATCTTAGCAATATTGTCTTCTGATTCATGAACATGGAATGTATTTTCATTTGCTTATAACATTGTTTTATACCTTTATTTTATTTTTATTTTTATTTTTTTGAGTTGGAGTCTCACCCTGTCACCCAAGCTGGAGTGCAGTGGCTTGCTCACAGCCACTGCAGCCTTGACCTGCTAGGCTCAGGGGATCCCTCTGCTTCAGCCTTCCAAGTAGCTGGAAGTACAGGCATGTGCTATCACGCCCGGCTATTTTTTGATTAATTTTAGAGATGAGATCTCACCAAGTTGCCCAGGCTGTTCTCAAACCTGTGGGCTCAGGCAATCCCCTCACCTCAGCCTCCCAAAGTGCTGGGATTACAGGCTTGAGCCACGGTGCCCAGGCTGTTTTGTAGCTTTTGATGAGTAAGTCTTGTGATTCTTTTGTTAAATATATTCCTAAGTATTTTATATTTAGAATGCTGTTGTAGGCTGTGGGTGCAGTAGCTCAAGCCTGTAATCCCAGCACTTTGGGAGGCTGAGGTGAGGGTTTTACCTGAGCCCACAGGTTTGAGTACAGCCTGGGCAACTTGGCGAGACCTCATCTCTACAATAAATCAAAAAGGAACCGTACGTGGTAGCACGTGCTTGTAGTTCCGGCTGCTTGGAAGGCTGAGGTGGAAGGATTGCTGGAGCCCAGCAGGTCAGCACTGGTGTGTCCGTGAGCGTGCCACTGCACTTCATCCAGCCTGGGCGATGGAGTGAGATTCCCACTCAAAAAAAAAAATGCTATTGTGAATGGAATTATTTTCTAATTTCATTTTGGGTTGTTCATTGATAGTATATAGAAATGCAATAGATTTCTGCACATTGATCTTGTGTCCTGCAACCTTGCTGAACTTGTTTAACTAGTTTTTTATGTATTTCTAAGGATTTTCTATATGTTTGTCATTTGCAAATAGAGATAACTTTACTTATTCCTTTCCCATAGATGCCTTTTACTTCTTTTTCTTGCCTAATTCAACCTTGCCTATTCGTCCTCCTATAAAATATTGGATAGAAGTGGTGAGGACAGACATCCTTGCATGTCTTAGGAAGAAAGCTTTCAGTCTTTTAAGTATGATGCTAGATGTGTGTTTTTCATACTTGTCCTCCATCAAGTTAAGGACATTTCTATTTCTAGTTTGCTGAATGTTTTATCATGTCAGGGTATTGAACATTGTCAAATGATTTTTCTGCATTAATTGAGACGATCATATGATTTTTGTCCTTTATTCTGTGGATATGGTAGATAACAATGATTTTCTGAAGTCCTGAGTTAAATCTCAGTTTGTCATGGTGTATAATCTTTTGTGTATGCTGTTGAATTGAGTTTATAATTATTTTGTTGAGGACTTTTTTTCTTTTCTTTTCCTTTTCTTTTTTTTTTTTTTAAATCAGGGTCTCACTCTGTCACCCAAGCTGGAGGACAGTGGCATGATTATGGCTCACTGCAGCCTCAACCTTCTGGGTTCAGGCAATCCTTCTACCTCAGTCTCCCGAATAGCTGGGGCTATAGGTATATGCCATCACACCCAGCTAATTTGAGAATTTTTTAAAAATTTATGTTAATAAGGCATATTGATCTGTGCTTTTCTGTCCTTGTGATATCTTTGTCTGCTTTTGTATTAGTAATACTGGCCTCATAGAATGAATTGAGAAGTGTTCCTTCCTCTTCAAATTTTTGGAAAAATTTGTGGAAAATGGGTGATAGTTTTTCTTTAAACATTTGGTAGAATCCACCAGTGAAGCCATCTGGTCTTGGTTTTTTTCTTTGAGGGGAACTTTTTATTCTAATTAAATCTCTTTACATGTTGTAGGCTGAGTCAGATATTCTGTTTCTTCTTGAATCAGATTTGGTAGTTTGTGTCTTTCTTGGAATTGTCTGTTTCATCTGTTACCTATTTTTTGGCATTATATATTATTTTTTAACATTAAAATACTTTATGGACTACATTTCAAATTTTCTGCTATTTTAGATTGACCTTTCTACAGTCAGTCCAAATTAAGAGTTTTTAATGTATGTTATATATGAAAGCAGCACATGGGAAAAGTAACTTTCTTTCTCTTTTAAAGAATCACCAACATTATTTAATCATTATTTTATATTTTGTCTTTTAGGATTGTATATTCATCAAACAGAAACATAAAAAACTATGAAGAGGAAATCCTTAGGAAAAAAATAGCTGAGAGTGGAATAGCGCAAAAGAAACTTGACTCCAGTTTTCCAAAGTGTGAACAGTCATCTGATTGTTCTTTTCAGAAGCAGGAAATTCCAGAGGCTATCAGTGATAGAGATGACAATTTAATTTCCAATGGTGAGGTATTTTTTTGTGGATTTTTATAAAATTGTATAGCCATGAAAGTAATTATATTCTGATATGATTAGAGAAAAGCATACTTCAAAAATCTGCTCTACTGATTGTTTTTAATAAGCATGAACAAATGAAAATATACTTAACTCCCAGTTTTCCCAAGTAATTGGAGATAAGGTTATTATAAATAAATTCACACATAATTCACAGTTCTCCTTTTAGTCACTTAAGCTTCCATGTGTCATTGTCCTAATTCTAATCTATATCAATAAAGAAGCTTTAACAACCAGTCAGTTTTGTTATAACACAATATATGCACTCCTTAAAAAACATCTGCAGCACAAAAATTGAAGTTACACAAAACTTTGCCATGACACATTAATAAATATGATAGCCTAGTTTTACACATGTTAAGTGGTTAAGAAATACGTAGATACTATAAAACATGTGTCATTTTACCTTGAAAAAGACCTGAAGTTTGCCTGTGGAAGAAGTGGGTTTTAGAAAGGTTGCAACTTGTAAGTTATTGTGGAAGGATAGGCGGATGGATGGATGGATGTGTATAAGACAGACAGACAAGCAGATAGATTCTGACAGGAAACCCAAGATCCCTGCATCAGAGAACAGACCATTTTTGCTCACAGAGCATCTTAGTGCTGGTTCTCAAACCCCAGACTCGATGAGGCAATAGAGTGAGGGCCTGATGTTATCCTGCCCACACACTGAGAGACACCACAGGAGAGGGACATCAACATTAGGAGACTCTAAGCTTTCATGGGCGCTGGCGGGTATGCCCATTCTCCTCTCCAAAGAGATGAACCTTTACTTTGGAAGGTGAATAAATCGTTTTGGGGGAGGGAAAGAGAAGGTAGTCTCACTACCCTGGAGTGTAAAAATGACTTCTGGGGGAGGTAAGTTTCTATATCTTTCTGGAGTATCACAAAAGCAATTTGACTTCAATTTTCCAAAGTGTGAACAGTCATCTGATTGTTCTCTTCAGAAGCATGAAATTTCATGCTTCCAAGGCATGTTTGCTGCTAAATCATCCTTTATCCAAGTTTACCAATGCTGTGCTCAGAAAGATCAGACCACACAGGATCACAAAAATATTTATAGAAAATTGTCTCTCAACGGTTGATTGTCTGAAATCAGATAGGAATTAGTGACACCAATGGTAGATGGGTGTGGCTCGTAACACATGTAGTGACCTGAGATATCTGGAAGATATTTAGGTGTGTGTGTGTGTGTTTGTGTGTTCTATGTATTCTTACATGGCTCAGTTCAGCTGGGTGCTGTCTTCTGCATTTGACCTAGTGTTTCTCACATATGAGTTTACACCTAAGCAAATGCAAAACTCATCTTATGCTTAAATTGTTCCCTAATATATCCATTGCATTGGCTCAAACTCATGTTGTCAACACAAGTGTTATAGCAGAATTGACCGTATATGAAAATACCGTTAGGTAAAGGATCTTATGACTGGTGTATAATGCAACAACCACCACCACCAAACGATTTATTCTTGCTGAGTTTCCTGTTATATTACATTTACCATATCTAGTTGGGAGCAACTACATAGAAATTCTAGACTTTGAGGTAGAACCATTCATGTACTTTATCTCATTTGGTCTCATATAACCCTAAGAAGTAAGTGGTTACAGACTAATTTTATCAGTAAGAGTAGGATGAAGCCCGAAGACCCAAAGAGCATAAGAGACTTTCCCAAGGCCACACAGAGCAGTCCACAGAGCTGTATTTGATATCTATGTTTCCAGCTTCTGGTCTCTTTTTTTTGCCCCAGCCCCACAGCAGGCTGTTAAAGTAGCCAAACAAGTTGTGCATGTGAGTGAAAAGAGCTTATTACCCCTTAACCTCCTGGCCTTTGACTGCTTTCTGCATCACTTCATGGATGATCCCCATGTTCACTGGTAACCTCCCAGTTGCCAATTCAACAGACACTTTCTGTCCACATTGCATTAACCTCTTTGCAGTCTTTTCATACTGTCGGTGCTGCCCTCCTTGAAACTTTTGTCCTCCATGTCACTGTGTTTTCCTGATGTTTCTTCTTGGCCATTCCTCATTCTTTCATTGATGTATCACCTTTCTGTCCCTTAAATAAATGGCATTCTCTGATTTTTTGAGCTTCATATCCAACCAGTGACTAGACATATCTGGTTTTTCTTTTGTTTGTTGGTTTTTTGAGTTGGAGTCTCACTCTGTCGCCCAGGTTGGAGTAGAGTGGCATGATCATAATTCACTGCAGCCTCGACCTCCTGGGCTCAGGTGATCTTTCCACCTCAGCCTCTTAAGTAGTAACTATAGGTGTGTACTACCATGCCCAGCTAATTAAAAAAAAATTTTTTTTTGTAGAGACAGCGTCTCACTATGTTACCCAGGTTGGTCTTGAACTCTTGGGCTCAAATGATCATCCTGCCTCCCAAAGTGCTAAGATTAAAGGTATGAGCCACCATGCCCCACCCATATCTGTTCAAATATATCTTAAAAATATCAAATTTAACCCATTCCATATTTAACCTGTGGAACTCTGTCACCAATGACTAATCTTCTCTAGATGTACTGACTAAAGTTTCTGGATTGGTAAAGCTATGATAAACAGTTGTTAAAAGAAAAACTTTAGACAAAATGCATTTAACTAAGCATATTTGAGCAAAGTAAAATTTATGAATCAGGCAGCACTCAGAAACAGAAGAGGTTCTGAGAGCTTCATCTACAACTGGCCAGTGAGTATTTATAGATAGAACATGAAAGTAAAGTACAGAGAGAGCTTGATTGGTTACAGCTGGGTATTTGCCTTATTTGGGCATGGTCAGTTGGCTACCTGTGATTGTTTGAAGCTCAGCTGCTTTTGATTGGTTGAGATCTAGCTGTTACCAAATATATATTAAGTTATGTTAAGTTTTGGTTTGTTTACATGCTAATTAGGTTGCATCTCATTATGTAGCTCAAATTGCAGAGACAGCCTTCAGTCAAAATTTAACAGTTCCTGCCTATTGATCAGCTTCTCAATTTTGAGAGATTGACCAAAACCTTGGCCATTGACACTACTGTCTGTCTGTAACCATCATAAAAGGCTTGTTTGGTCAAGAATGGAATTCACAGGTCTCCATGTCAGGGCAGTTGAATGCTTCTTCTTACTGTTCTAGTCAAAGTAAGACCATTTAAGGCATGATAGTTGACTGCATACACACATTTAGGATTTCTAAGAGGATACCGCATACCAGGAAGATTATTATAATGACTATCAGGAGGATAATACCAGGAGACCAAAGTATACTCCTTAATAGGGGCCCCTATAAATCAAACTGATCAAAATCAAACAAATCAAAGTCCAGGCAATATAGATCGATTAACAACATTTGAGTCCAATTGGTCATAGTCTGATTAGAAAATGATGGTGATTAAGGACCATAGTTCACTGTAGAATGGTCTGATTTTAAAAGGCACACAATTTTAGTTAGCTTGGTAACATAGGTCACAGGAACCCAGAGACCCATTAGAAGAAACATAAAGATTAGAAAACCTTGAAAAAGCCAAGTTGCCTATCCTCTATTTAGGATACCAGCACACCAACTGTTAGATGTTCCCATAAATACATCGTGGGTTCCTTTTCCTTGAGAAATTTCTTTAATGTGTTTTGTGGTAGTATCTAGAGAAACAGTAGTATCAACCCCCTTTTTTGGTTTTGGGGGTTTTTTTTTGAGTTGGAATCTCACTGTGTCATCCAAGTAGCTTGAACCACAGGCGTGCACCACCTTGTCCAGCTAATTTTTTCATTTTTTGTAGAGACGAGGTCTCACCAAGTCGCCCAGGCTGGTCTTGAACCCCTGAGCTCAAGCAATCCTTTCATCTCCACCTCCCAAAGTGCTAGGATTATAGGTGTGAGCCACTGTGCCTGGCTTAACCACCTTTTAAGTTCAGTTTTCTGTAGTAGAAAAATCAGGTGAAAGATAGATACAACATTTCGTTTTGTTCAGACAAGCCACTAATCTGGGCAGAATCTAAAACTACATGATGTTCCATTAGGTGCTTTTGTTGAACCCACATGTTATCATCCACCTTTTAGAGGGTGGCTTCTACCTGACTGAACCCTTGGGAGGTCTGGTTGGCACAAAGTCCAAGATTTCCTCCAATCTGTGGATTAGTTTCAAATTCCATACGACCAACATCTTCCTACCACCAAGTGTCATCCCCAACACCACTGGAATCTTTTCTCAGTAGAAACTAGCTTAGCTTCATCTATTTCAAAGTTGGGGTGACGATTTTGACTGTTGACTATTTTGGCCCCTGATTATGGGAGGTATTATGAGGACTTTCAGGGGAAGCTATTCAGAAGGCAGAAGTGAGCCAGGCCAGGTAGCAAAACTCAAACCAGTGTGGAGGCAGAACAGAGTAAGAAAGTTCTTTGCACACCCAATAGAGGCAGGCCCTCAGGGACATCTGAGCATGGATCAGTTAAATTTGTCCACCCATAGGTCAGCATAGCTCCTGAACAAGGTTTAGTAGAAACTTGCCTTTTTTGTGGTCCCTTCATAGCAAGTTAGAAGGGTATACAGGGGGAGACACAAATCCAGAATTTATTTATGAAAAATTGTGTGTTTATTCTTATGTGTTTAAACTTGTCACTTCAAAGTATTCTCCGTTTGATGCAGTACACCTATTGAGATGCTTTTTCCGCTGCTCAGAACAGTTTTCGAACTCATCAATTTTGATGGCTTTTAGGGCTTCTGCCGTTTTTTTGTTCCATCTTTTCTACATCAGCAAAATGTTTCCCTTTGAGGACTTTTTTCATCCAAGGAGGAAAAAAAATGGCATGGTTCCTATGCCCC